TGAGTTCATTCCCCAGTACCAAACAAACAAAAAGGAAATGGTTAATTATAAAAGCAGACTAAAAGAAAAAAAAAAAAAAATCAGACCATGATGTTAGAATGACAATGGTAAAAAAAAAAAAATCCCTTAAGAGAGTTTACATTCTATTAGTCTGCCGAGTTCCGGGAGCCCCCAGACCCAGTCCTAGCCCAGGTCCGATTGAAGAACTTCAAGGGGTGAAGATTGTTAGATTTTCTGGCCCAATTTTCTATGGCAATGTTGATGGTTTTAAAAAATGTATCAAATCTACAGTTGGATTTGATGCCATCAGAGTATATAACAAGAGGCTGAAAGCACTGAGGAGAATACAGAAACTCATCAAAAAAGGACAGTTAAAGGCAACAAAGAATGGCATCATAAGTGATGGTGGCTCATTGAATAATGCTTTTGAAGCTGATGAAGACATTGAAGATCCGAAAGAACTTGATATCCCAACCAAGGAAATTGAGTTTCAAGTAGACTGGAACTCTGAGCTTCCAGTCAAAGTGAATGTCCCCAAAGTGCCAATCCATAGTCTCGTGCTCGACTGTGGAGCTGTATCTTTCCTGGATGTCGTTGGAGTAAGGTCTTTGCGCATGATTGTTAAAGAATTCCAAAGGATTGATGTGAATGTATATTTCGCATCACTTCAAGATCATGTTATCAAGCAGATGGAGAAGTGTGGTTTCTTTGATGATAACAATAGAAAGGACACATTATTTTTGACTATTCATGATGCCATACTTTACCTACAGAACCAGGTTAAAGCCCAAGAAGGTCAAGATTCCATTTTAGAAATGATCACCCTCATTCAAGAATGCAAAGATCCACTTGAATTAATGGAAGAAAAGATGACTCAGGAAGAACTTGATGTCCAGGAAGAGGCTATGCGTAGTCTGGCTTCTTAAAGTGGACTGCAAGACAAAGTTCACCCACAGGTGACACCCTCTGCAAACATTTTCAGCATTGATTATTTCTTTGGATTTGAAATGCTCATGCTTTGTCTGTTACATTTTAAAATCTTTGAGCTTTCTTATGTCTTAGCCATTGAAAAAGGATTAGATTATTTTCATACTTTATTTATAAAATCAATAGCTTACATCTGAAGTATGGAAAACAGTGATGAGAATTACCCAGGCAAATTAGCAAGGTCCAAGATCTTATAATGTTATAATCTGTGGCTGACCCCCCCAAAGGCAGATTTGCTGTGTTCATCAGGGTACTAGGGCATCTCTGATCAGTTGCAAGAAGTGTTAACTTGACAGCCTCCATGGCTAGGTGAGCCATGAAGGATTTATCACAGAAAAAAAAGGCCAGTTTTAAGAATGCAATTAGTTAATGCTTAATAATGTTCAGCCAGATGTGGTGGCATCAGCCTATAATCTCAACACTACGGGACGCTGAGGTAGCAGGATCTCAAATTCAAGGCTAGCCTGGGCAAATTAGTGACTTAGTGAGACCCTGTTTGAAAATAATGAAGTGTTGTTATATGGGACCAGATATATAGCCAGAATTCAGGGTCTCTTTGAGGCTAGAAATGGTTAGCTGAAAAGCTATATAGAACTGGACTGTTACATTTTTTAAAACACTGATGCAGAAAAGTAAAACAGATAAGGAAATTCTCGTGGTTTATAGAAATACTTTCAATATGATAATCATGCATTACAATGAAAAGAAAATATGATGGACTAGCTTGAAAATGCCATTTAAATTTATCTTAGCCTACAGAAATGATCTTTGCATGAAGGTATATATATATATATATATATATA